AGTAACAGTGTGTTCAATCGTACGTATATATCTGCTCTTTTACTGCCCCGGTTTCCCACCTGGCACGTTGGTGAGATCAGGGATTTACTGGATTTTATATCTGGTAAGAACTAGGTACATACCCATTCAGCTACTACCTTCTTGCAAAGAAGCAGAGTTGCCCCTACTTCTCTTGCCCTGCAGAATCCTCCTGCGTCTGGAAGTGGGATCTAAACCTTCCCTCTCCGTGTCACCTGGCTCTGCCTGGATTCTGTATTGCTAGAGATATTGAAAATGTGCTGTCACTGCTCATTCTGTTTTAATACAGTTGCGAGTCCAAGCTTAGAGAGCCTAGTGGCTGCCACAAGCGCTGTATGCAGTGGTAACCGTTAATTCTGCTTGGAGCACACTTAATTAACATGAGAGTTTCAAACCTGACACAGAAAAGCACTTAAGCTGTGTACAGCTTTGGGGAATCCCGCTGAATGGGATAATATGATGCACATGATGCTTAAGCACATGAGTACATTTAAGGGTCTTGCTATATTGAGGATTTTAACGTGTATTTTTGAGGGTTTCACAAAAAAGCATCAGCATTCGAAATGTACAAAAGCTGTGGATTAAACACTCACAATGAAACCTTCAGGCTAACGTAGTCCATCAGACAGATTATCTCTAATTTTAAAAGTGGCAGTGTTTAATTTATGGCAAAAAATACCAAATTATTATAAGTTGTTAAAAATAAGTAGCTTTCATAGGGCTCAAGCAAACAATATTTCATTTCTAGAAGAAAATCTGAACATATGAGATCACTTACGAATTCAGTGTGCAGTTTTATCACAGTGGAATTTACAGATGAACACTGAATATTTTTATATCCTCTTGTTGACATTGCTGTGAGAAATTACATGAGGAGAAGCATTTATAGCTTTTATTAGACTGTAATGCAGTTTAAAAAGCACCTTGACATCAATCTGAGTTATGTTTTAATATTTGTACTTATTTGAGAGTGAAACAAAAAATAAATTTTGTCCATCTCCCATGGACAAACACAGGCTGTAGATCCAATTCTCTTGGCTATACTCTGGCAGTAAAAGTTGATCTCAAATGGATGTAGAATAGGTAATTGCAGATTGACAGGTTCCTTGTTTCCATGGTGCATAAAATGGCAGAAGTTTTTCAGTTTGGCTCTACTTCTAGCTGACTTATTGAATAAAAAATTGGCTGGTGTGCAGAAAGTCTTTAAACTTTTTTGTCTTTTAAACAATGCCAGCCAGCAGATACGCAGTGCTGACAGGGAGCTCAAGAACTCCCACAAATTATCTTTCCAACAATAGTTAACATATTATTAAGAATTTCCATGTCTACATACTAATTATTCTGAGATCTGTGGGGTTGGTGGTTTTTTCTTTTTTTTTTTTTTGCAATTTAGGAGTACCTTTATCTTGTGTGAACAGATAGCGCTTTGTTGCTATTGACAAGAAAATCTGGCAGGCTAAAGGTTGTGGAAGGGACATGGTCTTTTGGGTAACAGAGGTCTGACAGGAACCTGCTCAGCATTTAGCCCTGAGGTGGGAGGTGGCCGTGCAGACAGGGGTGCTGGTCACACCGCTGCTCTACCCCGGCCAAATCCTGCCATGGGATCTGGCTGCTGCTGCTGTGGTTTCTGCCACGAGGGCATGGTGGAGGTGGGGGTCAGAAGCTGAAAACAGCTCCTACACATCCTGCGGGGTATCCTGAGGGGAGATGTAGCTGTGGCAGCGATGTCCCAGCCCAGCCTATGCGGAGGTGGGCCTTGTGCGTGGCGTGGCAACGACATCGGGAAGGGCATGGGACAGTTGGAGATGGGGCTAGGGGTGCTGCAGAAGGTGGCCAGAGCTCCCTGTGCACAGCTCGCAGGGACCCAGTGCGGGGATAAAAGCTATTGGCATGGTAAGGGGCTGGAGGTCCCAAAAACCTACCTCTGGTCCACAAGGCTTTTGGGGTTGGATTATGTGCTACCTGACAGGTCTTGGGAGATATTTTTATAAATGGTCTTTAAATGTAAGTATCCATTTTTAAGAAAATACAGACTCCCAACGTTTTGGAAATAGGAAATTCCTACTGTTCAGTGTTACATAGGCACAGGTAGTATGGGAAAGCCCCACAAACATCAGATTGGAAAGGATTTCCTTGAGTCCAGCCTGGGGCTGTATACAACCATAACTTTCAAAAGCTTATCAAGCTCCATCTTAAAAAGATGTTGATGGTGTAAGGTCACAGGAAGTTCTGGACCGCTACTGCTGATGGTCAGGTTGAAAATTAAACATGAATTCTGAAACTGATCCATGAAGAGCTTGTATCCTTTTTATTCCCTGTTTGCCAACTTTCTCCTTTAGCTTGACCTGCCTCAAATGGTTATAGAAATGTTTTATTCCCCATTGATGATAAATGTAAATGCCTTAAATTTGTCAGCTGAAATGCTGTTCAGATTCAGAATATTACTCTTAGGCAAACAAAAAGAAAATTGGAGATTCGTATTCATTCGCGATATGTAAAGAAAGTGATTTAGCACTGTAAGTGATACTTTCAAGACAGCTCCTTAAAAAACACGGAGCTGCAGCAAACCCCTGTAATCCCTTGCCATTATGTTTCGCTGTAACAGTCTTCCTTTGCTTGGTCAGAGCCCTCATGCCAGAGTAGTGCAGATAGAATTGCAGCCAGTCTAGAAACTGCTTATTTTTTAACCCATTGAGACCCTGTCAGGCAAATTGAAGGGCTCGTGGTACATTACATAATAACAGCACGTACTGGAAGTCGTACTTAAAACCCCTCATTCTCCCATTATTTCGTAGACAATTACGGTTCTTGCAGAAGAAGAAAGTTTACAAACTGCTGTATTGTAGCAGCGCTACTGTGGTGCTGTAGTTAAACTTTATAATGGATTATGTTTAAAATAAATTAATTCTCAGAGCACTAATATCCACTCGATTCTGGTCCCTGGTTCCTGACCGCTTGAGCAATGGGTGTGCAGGGGCAGTTCAGTAGGCATATTCAAGTTACGAGAGGTTTGGTGCTGCCACACATGCAGTCAGGTGTACATGCATGCCCTTGGTGACAAGTTAGACAGTGCCTTGTTGGGGCTGTTCCACACCATCGGCAGAGTGAGCTGCTGCTGTGGGGCACACAGCAGTGTGTGCATGGCTGCATTTTGGTGCAGCTTGGTGTGGTGCGTATGTGTTGTAGGCTGTGGGGTGTCGGAGTTGTCCTTTGTGGCTCTGCCATCCGCTTCTAGGGCCAGCACTGTGGAGAGTCCAGGAAAAATGGAGGCAAATGCGTTCTGCAACCACACAGCATAGCACCATGGGTTGTGTTCTGCCAGTGTCACAGCCTATGTAAGCTCTTGCTTTTCAGCAGCAGCTGGAGGTATAACAAGACTCTCAGCATCACCAGGAGAGCTGTATATCCTCGCAGGGCAGTTTGCTGTTGGTGATGAAAGAGAATATAAGTATGGGCTAGATATAACTCTTTCATTATATCCCAGGTGTGGCTGAGATGAAAGATACAGAGCAAATTGCAACAGTGGAGATTACTGTTCTTGCCAGCTTTAAGCTGCAACAGGAGTGCTGACTGGTACACCTGCCACAGTTGGGATTTTAGGGATGTGCAAGACATCCGTAATGGAGATTTATGCTGAGTTTATCTCTGTCTTATGAAAAGGAAGACTGCATGCACCCAGTATTGACTTTAAAAAATGTGTCACAGTTATTTTTTGCAGGCTAATGTGTCAAGCGATGGCATGTCTTTCACTTTGTTGTAGAAAGGATAACATCATGACTTTCCTCAAGAGAAGTATAAGATATTAATTGTATATTTGTAAATCACAGGCGTACAGGAGACAATCCAGATCTATGCATAGATGGGACTTCCTTGCTTTCTTTGGATGACTGGAGGCATATCTCCATATCCTCTGTTCAGAAGAGAAGATCTTTATATCAAAAGGAAAGGATTTTCCCTCTTTATTCTGCAAGTTAGTGTGACAAAGCATGTTGTTTCACTGCCCTCAGTGTCGGTTGCATGCAATGGCAAGTATTTGGCAGCTTGTCTGTGGACAGCAGCTAGCAGAAGGTGAGCTTTGCTGTCAAGAGCTGGACCTGTGTAAATGATTAGGGTGAGTGATACTCCTCAGAGCTTGCTGCTTTGGCTCATGAAGCTCCAGGCTTCGTGAAGTCAGACTCAGCCACCACTTAGGTAGCTGCAAAATCATTATGTGCTTCGCTGGCTGAAATCTAGGTCATAATAGACACCTCTTAGGTCCATTTTGGATACGAGTTTCTTCCTGAGAGTCCTTATTGCATGCTGCTTCCAAAGTAATCATCTGCAACAGTTGTGAGGCCTGTGGAACTAAAGCAGCGTGGCTACGGCCAGCTGCTTGGGAAGACAGGCAGGGCCATACCCTGAAAGCCGTAGTTGAACATTTCATGCTGTGTCCTGATTGTTGCTCTAAAAATGTTACAGCTACTCCTGACATAAAATGTTTGTCAACTTGTCGAATGAAAATGCATGTCGTTATGATCCAGGACTCAATAGCTTTTTCTGTCTTGTAAGGTCACTGTAACTGTCCCATCCCATTGTCTTGAGGCCCGTCTCATCCAACCCTTCCCTCCAAGAAGTGCAAAAAGGCAAAACAGGTTTGAGGAAAAAAAAATATGCTTCAACACATGACCAAATGTTAGGGGGGGGCAGGAAAGAAACTGACTTTTCTGTAAGGACTCTGCAACAACAAATGTACAAAGTGTGGGCAAACAGACTTGTGTGAGAGCTGGGAAGAAAGCAAGCACTATGGTCAGGGTAGGTGCTGTTGTATTTTGAAAGATGCTCAGGAGGACTGCCCAGCATTTCTGTTGTAAGTAACAATGACTCCAGATTCTTTCAAGCTCTAAGAGATTATCCCTACTTTTTTTTCTGAGGTTTGGGCATACACAGGGCATACCCCACATGCATTCCTTCTGTTTCCCAGTGCTATGTATTCTCCAGAGGATATAGGCAGTAAGCTGTATGTTACTGTTCACAGCATGACCCTGCACTATTTAATACAAGGGTGACGGTGGGTTAGGATACAAGGAGTAAGGCACTTAAGAAGGTCAGGTCAGGGCATTAGCTCTCACTATTGAATGTTTCAGAGCTCAGAGAGACTTTGTACTCGGGATGATAAAAATCTCTAAGCTGTAGCTATAGACAGAACTATGAACTTGCACAGCAAGATGCTTGTCACTGGGCGCTGACTGCAGTACCCCCAAGAGCCAGGGGGACAGTGGGAGATGGCAGGAGGAGCTGAGGGCTGTGGCTAGGTGGAGCTGCACGCAGTCCTTAGAGCAGCAGCAGAACAACAGTAAGTTAGAGCTGGGGGAGGGCTGGGTGCCAAGTATTTGCTTGTGCACTTCCCTGCTACTTACAGGTAGTAATCTTCCCGCACAGTATCATCCTGGCTGGTCAAAACAGAGAGCAGAAAACTTGCCTGTGTTGCTGTGTATGTGGGAATCCAACTTGCATTGCCATTTCCTGGTGGAAGGGCTTCTGCCTACTACCACCAGCGAGGCAGGGGATGATGGCCTCCACTGTACCGTTTTCCTTGAATATGTAAAAGGAATGCTGTAGCATGGCTTACAAATTACTCACTAGAAAACATCAGAATGTCTTGGAATTTTAACTTGAATTAGGCCAACTTGTGGTTTTCTTTTCTGACTTTTTTTTTTTTTTTGTCTGGGCATGCTGCTAGGTCCAGAACACTTCATCAGTCAGAGAATCTAGTGCTGTAGCCAAGTCCTGGCCCCAGCCTGCACACCTGCATTTCTAAGGCCTGGACTAGCCCATCTTGGCTAGGTGCTGTTGTGGGCCACTGCCTGGGCTTGCAGCAGCTTAGGAATCCCTGCCAGAGTCTGTCTTGTCTTAATTGCTTTGGCCTGGAACGTGATGCGTGCTGCAGCCCAGCCGGCCATTGCACCTCCATTTCTCCTCTTTGGCAGCTGCAGACCAAATCACAAATTCATTTTGTGCAATGAAAGTAGGAAGGACTCCTTCCATACCATCCCACCAAAAAAAATTGAAAAATTGATCACTCATCAAACCTCAGCCAGTGCAGAGGTTTGAAAAAATTGAACTCTAGCTGAGTATAGCTAGGTAGTATTCCTCGATCATTTCCCAGGATTGCAGGCTTCTCTGCTGTTGCTTATGAGGACTGGTGCTTCAGTATACATAGATATAGATGTAGATATAGCATAACTGCACAGATTGTGTACAGTAAAAACATCAGGGCATATTTTGTTGAGCCTTTCCTGAGATGCATGAAGTGCTGTCACTGACATGGATTGATATGTACCTGTGTTACATCACGCAGGCTAACTGCCTACAAGGGAATGGAGTTTTCCCTAGCAAACTGTACAATTGTAGCATCCTTCCCCCTTATGTCCCAGGATTGTGTACACTTAGCTTGCCCTCACCAACAAGCTGCTCAGGAACTCTGAACAGCAAGGAGGAAGGATTTTCTTGCCTGTAGGGCAGGGAAGAGACTAATCACTCCCTTCCTTTTTCCTGAAAAATAAGTCTTATCTCCTGGAGCTGGGTCTAGACTGCCAAGGACACAGTCACACGTGGCACCTGAAGGGACGCAAAGATTATGACAACAAAAGCACAAAGCTGGGAAAGGAGGTTCAGCAGAGCAAAGGAGTGCTATCCTGGTGTGAACAGTGCTCCAGGGTAAAGTGAGCAGACGGCCGGTGGTGTCAGCCACCTCTGCCCACATGCATTTCTGTGTAAGGAGCTCAGCCAGGTAGTAGGAAGGGCAGAGGCATATCCCTTACCACATCCTCAGCGTGAGCTGCTGCTTTTTTGCTCAGTGGCACCAAACTTGCAGTCCGGCTTCCATGTGCCTTCCCCACCAGCAAACTCAACCC